CAACATCTTCATCATCATTATCATCATCATTATCATCATTATCAACATCTTCATCTTCATAATAATAACTATTTATGGGGTTACAAATAGTAAAACTTTTTTCCATTGTTATTTACTCCAAACTGAGCTGCATTCCAACGTGCTGCAAGGGGTCTATAGCACCCGCTGAATCCAGCGCACGTGACTACGCAATGTCATGGAAACGCCTTGATTGACGTCCAACAAATCTTTTGTCGCAACTATGCATGCATGATTCCGCGCATGCTATTGAGAACGACTGTTAGCCCTAATTTGTGTTCTTTAGCTGGCGCACACTTTTCTAGCCCAAACCTCCACTTCCCGATAGTGCTAATTTTCGAGAAGAAAATAATCCATAGTTCTGGCTTAGAAAACGAACCAATCACTTTGTTTAGACTATTTAGACTGTTTATTTATTCTCATACAACCATTTTACAAACTTAGATTATATAAAAACTTAGATTATAAATTTTAAATATAACATTATATTATATCTGGTTTTTTTTCCATTCAATTATTTAGTTTTAAATTATAAGATATTTTTGCTAATTTGTTGAACTTGTGGGACATAGCAACGGAACTAAAGAGGGTCGGGTCCATGAACACACAATGAACCTCAAAGTCGACGCGCGCCACCTCTGCTACACTACAKTTTAAGAGGAAATTTTTTTTCCAATACAATGCAATAATGTCAAAAAGCGCCAAAAACTAGACTTTCGTATGAGTTTTGATCCCAATTTTCGTTTTGGGTTAAAACTCAAAACCTATTTTAAACAGTTAGAAACTGATGTACTATGATAAAATGCCTGTTTGAAGCGGTATTTTCAAATGTACAAAGATGTTTTGTTGCATTTGCGTTAGAATGTTGCTTTGTCAGGCTTTTTTATAGAAGATATATGGGAAATAACCAAATGAAGGCCTAAACATCATTTTCGAATAAAATTTTTGCTTTGGGTTAACACTTTGATTCCACCACTTCCATCCGTCATCTCCACTTCCAAACAATTAAACTTTCTGAATAACAAGATTTTAGCCTTGTAAAAAAGCCTTTCTTCAACAAAATAGTTTTTGGCGCTCTCTGCTTGGATACGAAAAGGATTCTCTCAACAACCTCCAGGATTCTACAAGCCATCAAAAAAGAGCTATTACCGGAAGTGACGTCTATTGATAGCAACCTATCCCCGTTGTAATCATTATCATCTCAGAATTACTGGTCGCTCGACCAATCACAGCGCGCGAAACTCTGTTTTCAAGTCAAAAGTTATGCTAAACTCGAATATCCATTTTATGTTTGTCGCAGATATGGAACCAGCAGCGCCAACAGCTCAACCCTTTCCCACGACAAACTTCGACATGACTAATGAAGAGATGCCAAAAATCAATGAGAGAAGTCTTACAAACTACGACTGGGCTCACACTTCGTATCTACCGGGCATGCTCGCCCGACCGACTGATACAGGGATGGAAGAAGCACCAAGGCTAATCCTAGACGAAGACTCGGACTCGGACTCGGAGGATGGGCAGGAGAACGAAGGATTCGAAAAGTCAACCCTCGACATTCCTCATTCGGCATCACATCTCAGCCTGGAAAAAGAAGGCATTGAAGAATCCAACGACGCTTTATCGCAGAAAAACTTCGAGTCTCCGCCTCTCTACGATAATGTCACTGACTCGCCTGAAAACATCCGAACCCCCGAGCAACAAGACATCTACGATAATGTCGACTGCGAGAATGAGGACGACAACTCCAATGGACCGCCACCATCGCCACCACCAAGGCCGACTGAGCCCGAGTATTCTACGATTGAGTAATGACTCTATTATTGATGGTGCACAAGCAATCGCAATAGTATATCGTGATTTTTTCCCCCTCGCTCAACAGCGTTACAGTACGACTACCATAACCGGGGTCACTTGAACAGCGAGAACCAATCAAATTCTAGAATAAAAACAATACATTCCAAAGTTGGGTAGTGGAACCAATCAGAAAGCAGCAGAAAACAATAGCCTTTCGACATATCTTTTTATTCCCACGATGATGGCTATATATTCACCATTTTCCATACATCGGTTCACTGGTCAAACACAAAGCGCTCAAGCCAGGCGCCAAGGTACTTTCAAAGGATTATGCAAATTTGAACCTTGCAACCTCGACTGAATGCTTTGTGTTTGACCAGTGAACCGATGTATGGAAAATGGTGAATCTAGTTGTTTACACGTAACACATGGTCAAATTACAATTCTCGTGCAGTCTCTAGGATTCTGATTGGCTCCACTACCCAAAGTTTGAATGTATTGTTTTCATTCTGCATTTTAATTGGTTCTCTTGTCTAATCTTGTCTAACTGGTGCAATTGGCCCCGGTTACAATAGTTACAGTGTAATCGCCTCAATAAGATGCACGGTAACCTCCTCGGCTCTGGAGCGCTCGAGCGTAATGTTGTCCCATTTCAGACCACGTGATTCCCTTGAGAATAATATTCTTTGTTTGAGTTGTATTCATATTCATGTGTCTTCTTATGTGCAACCGAGCGCAAACCTTAAACAAAGAAATGATACTCTAGGGAATGACACTGTGTCTGAAATGGGAAAACATTATGTAAGAGCCGAGGATTCCTTCACCATATTCCAATGGTCTCTTGGATTTTTCAAAGGACTGACACAATTCATCATTTTCCATACATTGGATAACTGGCCAAGCACGAAGCGGTTAAGCGAGGCGCCAAGATACTTTCAAAGGATTATTCAAATTTGAACTTTGCAACCTCGACTGAATGTTTTGTGTTTTGACCAGTGAACCGATGTTTGGAAAATGATGAATCTAAAATTAGGAACCAACCTTAACTGGTTCACACAAAAAAAGTATCATCATTACACTCAAGGTTTCCACAATGTTTATAGTAAACTTCGTGTTTTATAACGACTAGTGTTTCGTATTATAATATACTAATGTACTCAAAAGCCTGTGGTGACTTCACAGTCATTGAGATATTAGAAGTATAAAACTTTATAACTTATAGACGCAACATTCAAATCAAGAAATATTTTACCATTCAACTATGAATTCACTTAAAGTAGAATCAATAATAAAAGTATTTTATCGTGGTTTAGGTGCACTTTAATTGCCCTATTTCACTATGACGTCACATCAAAACAATCTATTGTTTAAACGCAAAGGATCATGGTCGTCGGACGGGGTCAAATCAACGCAATTGCATCGACAATTGTTCTAAAACCCGTATCAATCCACGAGAGACGTAGAATAGCCAGCAAACGATCAGAAAATTTTTTAGTACATATCAACACATATTATATCTGAAAACCAGGCCATTTTAGATTAAACTGTTTCGCTAGGAGCAAATTTTGTTGAATTTTCTTTTGGATTTGGCGATTCTATCCCCCACGTAAACAAGCAGTGAGACGTCATAGCGAAATAGGGCAATTACCACCAGCATGGCTGTAACAGCCAGTCTTATTCTCTTTCTACATAACGTTTAGTATTAATATTTAGTATGCAATGTTCAATATTTAATAAATAGTGCTCAAGTAAAGACAAATAATCTGAAATGGAAAAACATCGTATCCAAAAATAGAAGTTACAGTCAAACTAAGAAAACCGTGAGCACCTAAAATATGTCTGGAATGTTAAACATCGTGTTCTGACCAATCACATGCGAGAACGAATCATGGTTTTCTAAGTTTGACTGTAAAAATGTGTAATTTTCTTCAGTATTATTTCTTTGTTTAACGAGAACACTCTTGAAGTTAGTTTGATCAATATGGATATGACTCAAGAAAAGAATCCTATTCTTCGTTTGCAATAGACGTCATAGCCGCCATGTTGGAAGAATTGACAAAAAAATTTTCAATGAATTCTTTTGTTATATCTTTCAACATGGCGGACATCCCTTTTGTTATTGTGCTCTCTTGGGATTGATTGCAAACCAAGAATTCTGAAGTGACTGACACATGGTGTGAAATAGTAAAACATATACCTATTTCAAAAAAATGTTGTCAGAGCCAAAGTTTACTAGGCCATAGGCAATAACAAATAGATCATTACAAGATCCAAGAATAGCTGGAATATGACTCTTGTTTGTTATTATCATTTTGGTCAAGAATGTGGAGGTCTTGGTTTTAGCTGGTATTATTCTTGCTTAGTTATTTTTCCATAATCCCTTTCCATCTTGGAATTATAGTGCTAGTGCAGGTCTCGGCCCTTATAACCTCTTTTCAAAATAGGAGTACATGGCACCATAGTTAATGGAGGGGAAGATAATAGATAGTTAATAGAGGGGAATGGTTATGAAACCTATTGTTATAGGTCTTTGTTCACTTTTGATGTTGAACCGGTCTTGACCATGCACAATGTTTGATTTTTGCTCATCCAAAATTGCAAAATGATTAAACACAAACTTCGTCTAGTGGATTGTTGTAAGGAATATTCAAATATCTCTTATAAACCTTTAAGTATTTTGAACTACCAGCCAAAAGAAATGGATTTTGGTCTGTTCACTCAGCCATTGCCAACAATGGTAAAACAAAGAATTGTGCAGGGTCACGCTTGAAAAAAGTGAACAATGGCATATAACAATTTTAATTGTTAAAACCATTTAAGGTATATTATTGAGACAAAATCTTGTTAAAATTAAAACATAATAACTGCAATTGTTACACTACATGTTATTGTATATCATTTTAGTAATAAAACCAATGGAGTGCATACCATA